GTGTAAAAGATGACTGCAATGAGGCAGGACGTGGCTCCTCTATTTCTTACCAAGACGTGGCTATTCTATTTCTTACCAAGACGTGGCTTTTCTATTCCTTACCAAGAATATATCGTCTATTTAGTTTCTCTGAGGACTATCATCAATTTTCTTATATTATGATATTATGAATAGAGTATGTATGTGGTATAGCATCTGTTGAGCTTGTGGAACATCATCAATTTATTATGTCTGTGGAATATCATCAGTTAAGTTTTTCTGAAGAATATCATCAATTTAGTTTATGTGTGGAATATCATCAATATAGTTTATCTGTAAAATATCATCAAATTAATTTAAATGTGGATTATCATCAATGTAATTTTTTTCTCTGGCGCGCCACTAATTTAGTATGTCTGTGGCATATCATCCGTTTGATATATCCATGGCACATTATTAAGGTAGTATTTGCGTGGTATTTCATTTAGTTAGTATGTCTTTAAAAATATATATTTAATGTTAATTTTGATTATTATCATTAACCAAACTAGCATAGAAACTTGTCAGTGACAAAAATAATAATAGAAAAAAAAAATACAAATTTGGGGCTGTTAAAGATGAAATCATCTGATAATCAAGTGACGTACTCGTACAGAATAACATTGTGATCCAAGGACCTGTCAGACAGTAAGATACATGGCGTCAAATATCTCAAACCATTTGACACAGATGTTAATGTCCATTTGAAAGCGTTCGATTTCGTCTACGACTTTGATAACAACTTTGCGATATATCATCGCCAGTCGCACAATAAAAGGGGATTTACTCCGTTTGCAACGTATACTATGTTATAAATTTGTGAGGTGCAACATTTCTATGTGAAATAAGATGACATGTGGGGAATAATGTCTAGTACCTTACGATTAATTTTACCTTTAGGTTATTTCTCCTAAGGCTGAGCCGAGTATATATTTTGTTTACACCTGATCCGGGTATTTTGAGAAAATAACTGCCGGATGTGATCCGAGTGTTACCGAAGAGAGTTAGCTCTCATTGTCCGTAAAATGATCCACCCAATAGAAAAAGGGAAAAGTACACGTATATAACCAGTAGCCATGTTCAGAACCCATAGCCTTGTATAAAACTAATAGCCACGTATAGAACCAGTAGCCATGTGTAGAAAAATAAGCCTTTTTTAAAACCAGTTGCAATTCATAGAACCAGTATTAATGTATAGAACCACTAGCCATGTATAGAGCCATCGGCCTTGTATAGAAACACTAGCCATGTATAGAACCAGCAGCCATGTTAGGAACCAGAAGCCATGTATAGAGCACGTAGAACCTCTTGGCAAAAAAAATGAGAACCACTGCATTAACCCATAAGAAATAACAAGTTTAAACCTAAAGGTCATCTTAGATGTGAGCGTTATTGTTGTCGTTGGTAGCAGTTGTCGGTTGCTGGCTATTAGCAGTTGCTGGTCACTGGCTGGTAGCAGTTGCTGGTAAATAGTGAATGCCATGGTTATAACCAAAGGTGCACATCTTCCCTAAAACAATTACTTTAATATACACTTGAAGAAAAGTTTTCCTTGTGTTTGGTCGGGTGTGCTTCTATTTGCACACAAAAAAGATGTTTTCAACAAAAATAACAACAACAACAACAACAACAACAACAACAACAACAAAAATTGCAGCTGTTTAAGAGCTCAACAAAACAAAATCAACAGAGCTCTTTACAGTGTTCGTGTCTAGAAATAGGTTTGCACTAAATGTCTCCTATCTTAACCGGTGGACTCGGTCTCTAATCGCCTTATCCCCAACCTGTTAAGTTGGCTACTTCCCAATTTAACTTTTCTGGTGATGCCAACTTCATTTAATCAGCCAGGGTTCTTTTCTCTCTTTGTTATAGTTATGTAAGCGGGCGATGGCTTTTCTCGTGTGGGGGATACTAATCTTCTATCGAGCGCCTTCCATAGGCGGCGGCTAGGGGAAAGCCCGCCAGCTGTGGGCGGGTACAGGGTAAATGAAATACCCGGAGGCGGACCAACGTCAGTACCTACTGAGTTTGTAGGAAGTGGAGCGATTTACAAAGGCTAGGGACCCGACCCAATACAAAGGCGGCTTCCCTGAGAGCTGGAAGGGGCATATCCACCACCCCCAGGTTGTTGTGTGAAGGGCTGACGAACCTGTCACGTAATAAAGCAAGTTTTATGAGGGTTTAAACCACATACAACAAAAAAAAAAAACAAAAAAAAAACGGAGTGATAATTTTGGATTTCGACCCATGCCTGAACAAAAGTTTGACACCAGTTTGGGGTTCACGCATGAAGGAGGAAAGCCATGGATCGAATGGAAGGATGTGGTAGAGCAGGCCAGTGCACTAAATGGGCAATGGCGCCAATGATTTCGATGGACGATGGCTTTTAGCCGAAAGCACCGTGTCATTGTTTTGTTTCACATCTCAAGTTCTATCTTATTCTTATTACACCAATTCTCTTATTAACAGCGGACGTATACAGAAAAAGTCTTACGGTATACAACAATCTTAAACCACGTGTAAGAAAGCGACAGTCTTTTCATTTGTTTATGTCATCACTCACGTTTAAGAGATTACTGCCATGAAGCAAGACGAAGCAAGACATGCATTTCTTACCAAGACGTGGTTCTTTTATTTCTTACCAAGTCGTGGCTCTTCTATTTCTTACCAAGACGTGGTTCTTCTATTTCTTACCAAGACGTGGTTCTTTTATTTCTTACCAAGTCGTGGCTCTTCTATTTCTTACCAAGACGTGGTTCTTTTATTTCTTACCAAGACGTGGTTCTTTTATTTCTTACCAAGACGTGGTTCTTTTATTTCTTACCAAGACGTGGTTCTTTTATTTCTTACCAAGACGTGGTTCTTTTATTTCTTACCAAGTCGTGGTTCTTTTATTTCTTACAAGACGTGGCTCTTCTATTTCTTACCAAGGCGTGGTTCTTTTATTTCTTACAATACGTGGCTCTTCTATTTCTTACCAAGACGTGGTTCTTTTATTTCTTACCAAGTCGTGGTTCTTTTATTTCTTACCAAGACGTGGTTCTTTTATTTCTTACCAAGACGTGGTTCTTTTATTTCTTACCAAGACGTGGTTCTTTTATTTCTTACCAAGACGTGGTTCTTTTATTTCTTACCAAGACGTGGTTCTTTTATTTCTTACCAAGACGTGGTTCTTTTATTTCTTACCAAGACGTGGTTCTTTTATTTCTTACCAAGACGTGGTTCTTTTATTTCTTACCAAGACGTGGTTCTTTTATTTCTTACCAAGACGTGGTTCTTTTATTTCTTACCAAGACGTGGTTCTTTTATTTCTTACCAAGACGTGGTTCTTTTATTTCTTACCAAGACGTGGTTCTTTTATTTCTTACCAAGACGTGGTTCTTTTATTTCTTACCAAGACGTGGTTCTTTTATTTCTTACCAAGACGTGGTTCTTTTATTTCTTACCAAGACGTGGTTCTTTTATTTCTTACCAAGACGTGGTTCTTCTATTTCTTACCAAGACGTGGTTCTTCTATTTCTTACCAAGACGTGGTTCTTTTATTTCTTACCAAGACGTGGTTCTTCTATTTCTTACCAAGGCGTGGTTCTTCTATTTCTTACCAAGTCGTGGCTCTTCTATTTCTTACCTAGACGTGGTTCTTCTATTTCTTACCAAGGCGTGGTTCTTCTATTTCTTAGCTAGACGTGGTTCTTTTATTTCTTACCAAGACGTGGTTCTTTTATTTCTTACCAAGACGTGGTTCTTCTATTTCTTACCAAGGCGTGGTTCTTTTATTTCTTACAAGACGTGGTTCTTTTATTTCTAATCCAAGACGTGGTTCTTCTATTTCTTACCAACGCGTGGTTCTTTTATTTCTTACAAGACGTGACTCTTCTATTTCTTACCAAGACGTGGTTCTTTTATTTCTTACCAAGACGTGGTTCTTCTATTTCTTACCAAGGCGTGGTTCTTTTATTTCTTACAAGACGTGGCTCTTCTATTTCTTACCAAGGCGTGGTTCTTTTATTTCTTACAAGACGTGGCTCTTCTATTTCTTACCAAGGCGTGGTTCTTTTATTTCTTACAATACGTGGCTCTTCTATTTCTTACCAAGACGTGGTTCTTTTATTTCTTACCAAGTCGTGGTTTTTCTATTTCTTACCAAGGCGTGGTTCTTTTATTTCTTACAAGACGTGGCTCTTCTATTTCTTACCTAGACGTGGTTCTTCTATTTCTTACCAAGGCGTGGTTCTTCTATTTCTTACCAAGTCGTGGCTCTTCTATTTCTTACCTAGACGTGGTTCTTCTATTTCTTACCAAGGCGTGGTTCTTCTATTTCTTACCAAGACGTGGTTCTTTTATTTCTTACCAAGACGTGGTTCTTCTATTTCTTACCAAGGCGTGGTTCTTCTATTTCTTAGGTAGACGTGGTTCTTTTTTTTTCTTACCAAGACGTGGCTCTTCTATTTCTTAGCTAGACGTGGTTCTTCTATTTCTTACCAAGGCGTGGTTCTTCTATTTCTTACCAAGTCGTGGCTCTTCTATTTCTTACCTAGACGTGGTTCTTCTATTTCTTACCAAGGCGTGGTTCTTCTATTTCTTAGCTAGACGTGGTTCTTTTATTTCTTACCAAGACGTGGTTCTTTTATTTCTTACCAAGACGTGGTTCTTCTATTTCTTACCAAGGCGTGGTTCTTCTATTTCTTACCTAGACGTGGTTCTTCTATTTCTTACCTAGACGTGGTTCTTTTATTTCTTACCAAGTCGTGGCTCTTCTATTTCTTATTTTAGTTTATTATCTACCGGGGTGTTCCTCAGCAAACTTAGTATATCATAATAATACAATAAGTTAAGGAAAATACTTTTTTTATAACTTATTTTAAAACTTTGTTTTGTATTTTACTCTTGTTTGAATTGTTAAAAGTTTCTTTTATAAAACAAGATAAATAAACACAAATACTTAAAAAACACACTTTATGAGGGAAGCTGTTTATTTTACCAGGTGATTCAACATTTTCGATGCAGTCATTAAAAAAAACAACAACTTCGTATTAATGCCTTAAGTAAAAGAAAACTCAATTTTTGTGTGTGTTGTTGTTTTGAGCTTCCTGTTGATTTTTATCACGTCAAAACGCATTATTTTTTGTCTCGTGCACAAGTCGACCACTTCCAGCTTCTCTTTTTTGTTTTGTGGTTGTATTCGGTTTGAAAGCCATTCATGACTCTTCCGGTTGGAATGATTCGAGATTTTTTGGCTGTTTTCTCTAAATAACGACATCTCCGGACGACTTCATTTTTGATCTTGCAGCATAAGGGTTTAACAACCAAGTCTTTGTGCTCTTTATAATATGGCAGTCTCATTCCGCTTAAAAATAAGCCATCTGGACACTTGAAAGTAATCGTGCTCCAGATTTCCATCCCGGTCCACTCTGTGGTCATTCCCATGCCAGCCGACCATGAAAAAAAAGAACAGTAAAAATATTTGAATGCATTTTAGATTACATTAATTAAAAATTACCTTCTTAATTAAAAAGAGAAGTAATTTAGTTGAATGGGAGACTATATTATGATTCAACAGAACAGCGGCTGTAGTGCACAAAGGACTTGCCAGAAAAGCAAGTGTTAACTCTGCACCTGGAGATGTCCCATCTATCCACAGCACTTACTGCACACGCATATTTCACGCCAGAATCGGCCCCATGAGCCATCTGCGCACCCAAAGCCAAGTTTTAAAAAAAGCATTTAATATGATTAAGTTAGTCAGAGTACATTAAGGCTGGCACATTAAATATATTATGTTACGGGCAATGTGAATAATTGGGCATTATTCATAATGCCCAGGCAATTTAAAAAGTGCCAAAAGGGATGTTTCAATATGATAAATTATATAGAAAATAAAACATTGTCCGGGCATTGTGAATGATGCTGGAAATCGAGTGGGCAATTTGAGAAAATTTGTATTCATATTTCTCTACATACAAAAAGTAAGAGTATATTATTAATCAAACAAATTTTTAAATAACTAACAAACAAATAAAAATACAAACTGGTTGTGATAAAATAAGTATCAAAAATGCATACGCCTAACTAAAAAAAAAATATTAGGTATGTGCTTACAAATACATATACACACAACATGTCAAATCCTAGAGTTCTATTTATTAGACCAACTGCCACTTTGGTGACATTTCGAGTTACATAGCTTTTTTCTTTGCGGCACTTGCACTTGTCACATTTACAGCCACATCGACGATAGCCTTGGCCCCCAGTATTGGATAACATTCTTGCACATTCTCTTAGTGAAATCTCTGAATGAGGAATTTCTTCGGCATAAATAAACTTTTCATTACACTTTGTAAATTGTTTTTAGCATAAATTTGATTTAGGATTCCATGTTTCGTGCCTAAATGATAAAGATTGTCATCTGTTATTTCAAGAATATAATATATATTTATATAAAATATTTCTTCCATCAGTGAGACCTCTGTCGACATCTGGGACTCGAACTCTAACTGAGTCACCCTTTTTAGCGGCATGAGGGTATTTTGAATTAGAGGCTTCTAGCATTTTTTCATCTTGTTTCTTAGATTGCTAGCTGAAATCTGCCAAATTTTTAATATGTCAGCTTTTCTTTTTATCACATTGGGGTCCTCTGAGGGATCTTCATAACCGTCATACCGGCGTTTTTCATGACCGGAGACTTGAATATCGGATGGCTCGGAGACATTTATTTCTCTTTCGTTGTTATGGAAATCGGAACTTGGTTCAGATAACGAAGTTGAAGGTTGAACCTAATTGTCAATAGAAGATAGTTCCTCCTCGTTATGTTGACTTGGACCTAGCTCCGCTAAAGAAGTTGACCCTGGTTCATTTCGCAGTGCACCTTCTTCTACAGAATGTAAGTCTTTTACTATTTCTTTTAAGTCCTCTTCACAATTTAAATTAGGTAGAACGAATGTAGGTAGAAAACTTTTTAGACCAACTGCTAACTTTGTTCCAAACATGGCCTCATACGGAGTACAGTTGATGCCACTCTGATGAGCTCTGTTCTTCATAATTTGAACAAAACGTAACCATGTGACCATTTTCTGCTGTTATTGTGTTCCAGCCACGAACAAAGCATATGTTCCACTTCCTGATTTGCATGTTCTGCGGAGCGCTGACTTTGAGAGTGTCTGGGCTTCCCATGCACCATCTTTAACTTAATGGGCCACATGCTACATAGTTCGTTCATAGGATTGTTAGCAAATTCTCTCCCATTATCACTTTGCAAAATAGTGGGCGCACCAAAAGTAGTTAAAATATCCAACAGCACATAAGCTACTTCTTCTGTTCTTATGCTTTTAAGAGGTTGAAGTTGAATAAATTTAATTAAATGATCCTGGTGTGCAATTAATTAAAGTGACCAGTGAAATAATAGCAGTATTTATAATGACCGGGCAATGTAATAAATTATCCTAGATTGTTGTAGACAATTACAAAATATTTAAATTGGCCGATTTTATCGGTCATTATTCATAGTAACCAAGCATTATGAGTAATGCCCAATAATTCACACTGCCCGTAACACACGCACACACACACACACACACACACACACATGATAGCTCTAAGGGACAATAAAGTCATTTGAAGTGTGTTTTTTTAAAATCTTAAACCACGCATTGCTACAAAGATTAGTGAGGGGTTGGGTTTAAGGGAAAAGGTTTGGGGAGAGGTTTGGGTTGGGTTTAAGGGAAAAGGTTTGGGGAGAGGTTTGGGTTGGCTTTATGTGGAATCTTAGGGCTCAAGCCATTTTTAAAACATTTATTTAACAAATTACCGGGCTTCAAGGATGGCGATAAGAATTTCCCTATTATGTTTATGCAGCCATGCATAATTAACTTGTATAAATAATGATAGTTCCTCCTCGTTATGTATATGCCCCATGTAACGGCTAAAAGCTAGAAGATTTTATCGTAGAGGACAAAATATTTGTCCATATTTCTATTTGAAAAAAAAAATATTTGTAAATATTTCTATGAAAAAAAACCATTGGTCCATATTTCTATGTCAAATAATTTTTTTTCCATTTTTCTATTTCAAAACAAAACATTTGTTTGCTGTTACAGTTAGTAAGGAGTATTTTTTGGAAATCAAGTGTGTTTCCTTTTCACTAAATCAAGAAACATTCCTTTAGTAATTCTTTCCACTTCAAAATTAAGCGTCCTGTGCAAGATCTTTTGAATTCAAAGGGAAATGTAAATTTACATTTTCATAAGGAAAATTGGAGAGAGAAAAAAAGCAAGGACTTACGTTCTTCACACTCCTCAAGTTCCGTTGGATCGTCCTCATCGCATACGAGTTTCAACTTGTTTTCGGATTTTTCAATTATTTCAGTTATGCGTTTGCCGTAACATTCAAAGTCTGGATATTTGTTTGCTTGTTTGGACATCTGGACGTCGACGAAACACAGGAAGACGCAGGCGATGACGACAGAGATCTTCATGATGGCGGCTCACTCTCAGGAGACTTACCGTCTGACTGATCAGTTGCCTTCGTTTATAAACCTTAGAAAAGAAGCTCAGTCTTTAGGGGTAGAAAAAAAAGATGATAAAGTGAGCTTGGCCATTGGTTCATTATCGATCACGTGATCTGGACTCCTTTGAAATGTGTGCTTTAATCGACAACGCCATGAAATCCTTTAAGATGTTTGAGATAAGTAGTTTTAAATGGCTCAAATTAGGTTGAGCATTGAATTCTGTCTTTTGACAATTTTTTTTTTTGCACCAGATTGGCTTTACAATTTGTGTTTAGCTAAATTTCTTGAGAATCGATTAAAGTATTGATTGTCAGGTTAGATGTGCGGACGACAATGGACCACTAAAGTCAGAAAGCAACTCTTTCAGTGGACCAGGGTCCGCAGAGGGCTTGTGATTGTTTTATGAAATGACGCATTTAGAAATAATTAGGAATTGTATTCAGCGTTTCGTCTTTCTGTCTGTTGTCTTTCATTTTGTCGTTGCTCCAGAGTTGATAGATAACATGTTGATAGATACTAATAAATGTTGATAGATAAAATTTTAATAGATACTATGTTAATACATGAAATTTTGATAGAACAAATGTTTATACATGAAATATTGATAGACAAAATGATTATAGATGAAATGTTTAGAGATGAAATGTTGATAGAACAAATGTTTATATATGGAATGTTGATCGATGAAATGTTGATAGGTAAAATATTAAATGGTAAAAATGTTGTTAGATAATATGCGGATAGACAAATGTTTATATATACAATTTTGATAGATGAAATGCTGCTATGTAAAAACGTTGATAGGTGATATGTTTTAGAACCAACACTAGAATAATTAAAGTATGCAATTCTATTTTTTAAACCCCACGTTTGTGCATTCGACGCTGCTAGTACATCAGTACTAAGCACATCAGAAAACAAAGCCACAATACATTGTTTTTTTATCATTTCCATTCCTCTCTTCAATGCCATCTGACAATGTCTGCGAGTAGCAAAGACTTATTCTGTAACTCGACTCTATTTTGGGTATGCTTGTTCTTCATGGATGTCATTTATTGAGGCCATATTTCTCCAGGTGACTAACATCTCAAACAATGAAAATGCCGTGCATAAATAAGTAGCACGGTACATTTTGATGAGTGAAGTTTGCGATTTAACACAATCAGTATCGTTCATTTCACTACATGTCCTTGCGAATACAACCAACAACCCTGCTATGATCCCGGGGACAATGATGTCAAAATCAGTTACAACAGTCAACGTAGGAAACGCTTACTTTAGACAAACACAAATACAATTTTATTACAAAAAAAAGCTTTCCTATATAATCTCCCAAAGTTCAATACTCTTGTGATTATACTGATAAGATCAAATGAATCTAAAACAAGTTAAATAAGAAAGAATCAATGTTAGTGTGCCTTTCATACCATATTGGGATTTGAGACCATTTCTTTGTTATCTTTATTTAGTCATGACACCAGCTTCACATGACGCTAGGTCAGTGCATGGTCAGCAAAGAAACCTGTCGACATCGTAGAGGCTAGCCGTACAGAAGAGATAAACACAATTGTAAAAATCTTTGTGCGATAACTGGCGTAGTTATCCACCATTCACTATTTTCTGGTGGTCTTTAACCGTACATTAAACTTAAGGTAGACAAGTTGAACAGAGGGAAAATTTATTTGGTAGCAAGTAAAATGGAAGTATCGTTGAAGCACGTGTTGCCTGAAGTAGAGTTTTATGGCAGCGGTGGCTATGACTAGGTGGCTATGACTACGTGGCTATGACCGGGATGGCTATGGCTGGGGTGACTATGACTGGGATGTCTATGACTGGGGTGGGTATGGCTGGGGTGGCTATGGCTTGGGTGGCTATGACTGGGATGGATATGGCTGGGGTGACTATAACTGGGGTGGCTTTTGTTAGGGTGGCTTTGGCTGGGGTTTCTATGGCTGCCGTTGCTATGGCTGGGTTGACTATTGCTGGGGTGGCTATGGTTGGGGTAGCTATGGCTGGGGTGGCTATGGCTGGGTTGGCTATGGCTGGGGTGGCTATGGCTGGGGTGGCTATGGCTGGGGTGGCTATGGCTGGGGTGGCTATTGCTTGGGTGGCTAAAGCTGGCGTGGCTTTGGCTGGGGTGGCTATGGCTGGGGTGGCTATGGCGGAGATGACTCTGGCTGGGGTGCCTAAGGCTATGGCTGGGGTGGCTATGGCTGGGGTGGCTATGGCTGGGGTGGCTATGGCTGGGGTGGCTATGGCTGGGGTGACTATTGCTGTGGTGGCTAAAGCTGGCGTGGCTTTGGCTGGGGTGGCTATGGCTGGGGTGGCTATGGCTGAGATGACTATGGCTGGGGTGCCTATTGCTTGGGTGGTTATGGCTGAGGTGACTGTGGCGGGGAAGACTACTACTGGGATGGCTAAAGCTTGCGTGGCTATGCCTGGGATGACTATGGCTGGGTGGCTATGGCTGGGGTGGCTTTGGCTGGGGTGGTTATGGCTGGGGTGGCTATGGCTCTTGTGACTATTGCTTTGGTGGATAAAGCTGGCGTGGCTATGTCTGGGGTGGCTATGGCTGAGGTGACTATGGCTGGGATGCCTATGGCTTGGGTGGTTATGGCTGAGGTGACTATGGCGGGGATGACTACGGCTGGGATGGCTAAAGCTTGCGTGGCTATGCCTGGGATGACTATGGCTGGGGTGGCTATGGCTGGGGTGGCTATGGCTGGGGTGGCTATGACTGGGGTGGTTATGGCTGGGATGACTACGACTGGGATATCTAAAGATTGCGTTGCTATGCCTGGGATGACTATGGCTGGGGTGGCTATGATTGGGATGGGTATGGCTGGCGTGGCTATGGCTGGCGTGACAATGGCTACTTTTTTTCATAAACTGAAATTAGAATTCTTCAAGTAAAATGGGCTTCTCGTTTCTTAATATATATATTTTTGTCAAATTGCTATGTAATATCCCCATTTTGGGAAATCCACCCAAGTTGTGAAATCCTCCCACCTAGGGATATTCCGGGTAAAAAAAAATTAAAGAATTTATAATTTTAAAAATTAATTTCATCAAAGCAGACTTCATTGGTTCCCCTTTAAAGCTGATTTTCATCATTTGAGCTTCAAAGAGACCCCAAGGACATGTCAATAGTTTATGAACCATCCGTTTTATGTGTTGGGGACCTCTTTAAATGAATGCGGTGCCAGATTAGCCATGGTATATCTATAAAATTGGGGCATCGCCTTTACAGAATCAAGTTGATTCTTGTCGTGACATGAACTGTTGATGATGTATAACCTTAGATTTTTATAAGAAACTTTTGATAATATCGTTAGGTCATATGTAGATCATGGCGGTAATTGGGCTATTCAGTTTTAAATACATAATCTAAATAATCTAACACTGCACAATCGAAAGTTAATTTTAGAAAGGCTTTACCAAGGGGTGGCAGAATTCTAAAAGTGAAAGTAAATTTCAAGAGGATGTCAACGGCGTAATTAGGGTCAATGAAAGCTCCGGATGGGTCAAGCATCCTCTACTTTATCCCCCAAAAAGTCTTCCCCCCCCCCCCGAACAAAGAAAAAAGAAGAAAAAGCAGAATTCTAAAAGTGAAAGTAAATTTCAAGAGGATGTCAACGGCGTAATTAGGGTCAATGAAAGCTCCGGATGGGTCAAGCATCCTCTACTTTATCCCCCAAATAGTCTCCCCCCCCCCCCCGAACAAAGAAAAAAGAAGAAAAAACCTCTTTGCAGTTGCGACAGATGCGACCCCTTAACATCAAGAAAAATAGTTCCAAACGGGACGGTCCACTTCTCAAAATTGACCCATCTCCTATTTCCTATGCCAATAGAGGTTATCAAACAGCGATGAATTGGAAGTACTTAGGCCCCAACAACATGAAAAGTTCTGCGGTGTGTAGAGATGATCGGCCCTGTTGCATTTAAATGGCAATGTCAACAACAGACACTCGGACTGTTAGACGCTTATAGATTTACCATTGGAGCACGATACTTACTATGTTCATAACGTGCCCGGGTAATATAGATATTGACGTTGTCGACATGCTGTTGGCTTCAGATATGACAAACTGATAATTAAGATGACATGGGCTCTGATTTATTTTTGTTCGGTACATTTTTATTTTGTAGAAGGCACACTTAACTAGGTAGTCAGTTCCCGTGCCAAAAAACTCTCTGTACTGAATTCTCGTGGCACAATTAACTAGGTACTGAGTTCCAGTGGCGAAATAAACTAGGTACTGAGATCGAATGGCACAATAAATAAACTAGGTACTAGGATCGAGTGGCACAATAAACTAGGTACTGAGTTCCCGTGTAGCAATAAAATAGTTAATGAGTCCCCGTGGCAGAATAATCTAGGTACTGAGTTCCTGTGGCCCAATAAATTAGGTACGGAGTTCCCGTGGCAGAATAATCTAGGTACCTTGTTCCCGTTGCAAAAAAAAACTAGGTACTGAGATCCCGTGGCATAATAAATTAGGTACTGAGTTCCCGTGGCAGAATAATCTTGGTACTGAGTTCCCGTGGCACAATACATTAGGTACTGAGTTCCCGTGGCAGAATAATCTAGGTACTGAGTTCCTGTGGCACAATAAATTAGGTACTGAGTTCCCGTGGCTGAATAATCTAGGTACCTTTTTCCCGTTGCAAAAAAAAAACTAGGTACTGAGATCCCGTGGCATAATAAATTAGGTACTGAATTCCCGTGGCACAATAAACTAGGCAATGAATTCATATGGCACAATAAACTAGGTACTGAGTTGACGTTGCACAATAAAATAGGTACTGAGTTCCCGTGGTACAATAAACTAGGTACTGTGTTCCCGTGGCACAATAAACTAGGTACTGATTTCACGTAGCACATTAAACTAGGTGCTGAGTTCCCGTGTCTTAATAAACTAGGTACTGAGTTCCCATGGCACAATAAATCAGGTACTGAGTTGAATTGGCATAATAAACTAAGT